TGCTGTACAAACTGGACAAGCAGGACACAAAGGAAAAAGACTGCTGAACTTTGCCAAGATAAGGCAGGACAGGGACAGTCCTTCAAAATTCTTCCTCCTTCATAGAAAAGTCTGCCAGATATTCTAGGCCTGTAGGCTGAAGATGATGCCCCAATGTTACAGAGGAACCCTGGGGTGACTACTGTCCAGGCAGCCTGATGTCTTTGTCATTTCAAAGTTTTGGAAGTTGCTTGCTCTGCACTTCCTGTTTACTCAGGTAATATTATATTCTTCTGGGGTCTTTGATGGAGTTGAAGACTAGGTAGTTATAGTTGCAGTTTTCTTTAGTTATGATAGAAAGTAAATTAGGTACAGAGCTTTGGGCTCATTAAGATAGAATAAAGGAGTATTTACTTGCAAAGATGCCAAATACAAATGACTAGACATAATGAATTCTTACCTGATAATTGTTTTTTATTATTTATAGTTTTGTTAAGTTAGAATTAAGACCTTTTTTTTATTTAGACAAAAAGGGAGAAATGATGTGTAATAGTCCTTTGCACTGTGTGAGGATGTGTCACAGTGATTGGTTCAATAAAGAGATGAACGGCCATTAGCTAGGCAGGAAGAGGTTAGGTGGGGGTCTTCTGGGGAAGAGAGCTCTGGGAGGAAGAAAGAGGGAGTCAGCAGCTGGATGCCAGGAGGGCAAGACATGAGGGGGAGTTAAAAGCCACGAGTCACATGGGAGCATGTCCTCTGAGAAGCAGAGCACACACTTGTGTTGAAGGCTCTGCAGGCTGATGGGCTGATTCTAACTTCCTGAATGTGCAATACTGCACTGAGGACGCAAATCATCTACACGTATCTTTAGCCTGCTTGGGAGCCATTAATAACCCACCTCTCTATCTCCAGCAGCCTTCCCACTACTTTGATTACTTAGTTATAACCTGTTTAGTAGATGTATTTTGTAAATACATTGATTTAAGTCTACATTTACTTAATACTCCAAGGCTATTAAAGTTCATATAATCGCTATGTAACAGAGAGGATAAGAATGCTCTAAGTCTCCTTGGGCATTGCAAGGAATTTTCAGCACTTTGAATGAAATGAATGTCCTATTGCCAATCCTAGTAGAGATGGAAGTAGTCTGGAAGAATCTAGTCCTTTGGGAAGTGAGTTTCAAAAGTGGTTACTAGTTCATTAGTTGGTGTTACATTTTTTAACTTATAAAAGGGGGGGTGACAATTTAGGCTAGCAACTATTACACAAATACAGTAGTCAGCCAGTTCTTCAAACGGGACGCATCCCAGCCTTTGCTTCCACATCCCAGATTTTTCTTCATTATTTGTCTGCGTATGCCGGGACTCCTGGGGCATCTGTCTCACAGAAGATGCCATGGTTGTTACTGCTCACATCCAGTTCCACACTCACACACTCTTACACCCACCCCCTTTACCAAAAAGCCTTCCCCAGTTCTTCCTTCAAACCATGCGCTACAGGAGGCTGTCACCAGCCTACCTGCTAGTTTGTCGGTCACATATGCCTGGAAGGAACCGAAATGTGAAGGCAGGGTGACTTTTTACACTTCATCGTAACAGTGTGACAAGTTCCTCTGGGACAGAATTGTCATGGAAATTAAGAGAGATGCTTTGATAAACTGTTGGCCAAATGCAAAAGTCCACAGGCAGTACATTGTAAAATTACAGGTGCACAAACCCATCTACAGGCTGGATTTATAGATATATTTCATAAACTATGTTGCTCATGCCTATAAAGCACTCATTTGATCTAAGTCCCATCTTTAAAATTAAAACGAGCACAATATTATTCTGAAATACAAATACAACTGAAGCCTGAACATACAGACTGATGGATACATATGTAGCAAATTTAAATTCACTGAAGTTAAACAACAACCAAGGTATTTACTGCTGAGGTTTTAAGAAACCTCAGGACACTATGTTCTCGGCCACTGGAATATGCAGAACACATATGGCAACGCCATCTAACTGGCACACGCTGCACTACCTACGCTACCTACGCATAGCCAGGCACAGACATAAAGAGGACACTCAGCAGCACCTGCATCTCGTCCTCAGAGCGCTAGAAAGTGCTCAAAGTAACTCACTTCTCCACCAATCTGACACAAGTCTCACAAAACTGCCGCTCTTTCTTTCTGTGAGACCGCCACACATTTTTCAGGTTTTAGTTTGTTCTTAAATGGTAAGTATTATATGATGACGAGAGTTACCGTTCTCCTAAACGGGAAGGAAGTTGTCTCCCCAAGAAGCTGTGCACAGTGGTTTGGAAGAACACACCTGAAGGAACAGACCGATTCAATCCCTAGTTATCCAAATATTTGAGGACTGAAAGCACAACATTCACCGAGTTAAGCAACACTGTACATGGCAGGCTGATGTTTTCCATGGACTTGCAGCCACAGCATCAGCACTTACCGGCAGCAGGAAAGAATCACACTTTGCCAAGTTGTGCGTTTTCAAGTAAAAATCCAAGCGCAGCACTGTCCCTCTTCCCAGCTTAAATTTTCGTTTTGCTCAGTAAAAACCTGGGGGTCAGTTTATCTAACGGTGAGAATAGGAAGTTGATAGCAAGCCCGCTCATGTTTTCTCATGTTTCCACTCCACTATGAATCACAGTCATCAACGACACTTAAAACTTGTACAGTCCTTGGCATGTTCATCTTGTTCACGACAAAGTATCACCCCAACGTCCAGAACTCACAGAAGTCGAACAAGCATGCTGGCACATTATCTGCTATTCCACCACTTCATGGCTGAGGCTGGATGACCAACCTTGGCCGCAAAGTAAGACTTTGTCTCCAAACAACCAAACAAAAACAAAACAAAAATATGCAGGCGGCTGTCAATGTAGCTCAGTGGTAGACCACTTTACTTTCATGCTGGAAGCACTAAGTCTGCCTGCAAAGAGAAAACAAAAAGCTGGCCAACTACTTCCTTATGTCGTTAAATTTGGTTCATTATGGCAGCAACTGTGTTTTATTTCCTTTGTGAAAATACTTGCGCCGGCGTTGGTGGTGCACGCCTTCAATCCCAGCACTCGGGAGGCAGAGGCAGGCGGATCTCTGTGAGTTCGAGGCCAGTCTGGTCTACAGAGCAAGTGTCAGGACAGCCTCCAAAACAATACAGAGAAACCCTGTCTTGAAAAACCAAAAACCAAAAAAAAAAAAAAAAAAGAAAAAGAAAGTACTTGCATTTTTCAAACATGTTTTAAAAGCTAGTTTATGCCAGTTGCTCAACAATTAGCATTTCTGAACGGCACCACCCTGCTCCTAAAGATTGGTCATTTAACTGCTGGGGTTTTCACAAGCTTTCTGACAGCATTTAATTCAGTGTAGCAGAGACAACATTCGTACAGCATTCCAAAGTACACCGCTTCTAGTTGTTTCTCCCCGGCCACTCCAACTTCCTGTTTTTCATACATTCCTTACTGCTAGCTAGCTAAACGTTGAGCCACACCACTTAACTTTCATTTTCCAAAGCACTACTGTCCTACATAGTCACCACGTATCCGGAGACATTTACTACTACACTTCTGACTGCAACTGCTGTTTGTCATCACAAAGTGCTACCTATTATGTTCCTCTTGAATGATGAACCCCTACTCCCAAAATTTTGTTTTGGGGTATTTGTACCATGTATTCCACGACACATTTCTCAAGTGTTTCCTAGCCGGGAAGTTCTTTCTCCACTAAACCCCCCTCTCCCTCCCTTCTAAAACTCAGCACTGTCTACTTCCAAACAGACAATCACATCAGGCCTAAGGCGTGGATCATTCCTCTTAAAATACGCACCGTTTCCTTCTATCTGAAACTGCCACCCTAACTCCTTGCTAAGAAAGACAGTGAGGGGTAAAGATAAAGCCAGCCCCGACCGGTTCAAATACTCCGTAAGTAGAAAGCTACCTTAAGAAAAACAAACTAAAACCTGCAACATCAGTCATTGTTCACAGGTTCACATTGGATCTAGAACGACCATACAAAAGGGCTTAGTCTTCCAGAGGACCCAGGTTCAATTCCCGGCACGTAAATGAAACACAGATTTCAGCTATTCTAACATAGGCTTTCCAGGAACACACCAGCCGTGTCAGGCACAACTAAGAAATGAACGAGTCCTCCTGAGTTTGCGTTAACTTCTTTTTCCACCTTGGGCTGTGGCTACTTGGTACACCAGAAGAGAGAATCTGGACGTTTCCAGGACCTGCAGGAGGGCCGCGCTGGCAAAAGGTTTACAGAAGACATCACTGGGCTCGGGACAGCCGGTTAACGTCGCTCCTCGCCCACTAAGGAGGTAACGCTTCGGGGGCCGGGTGGTGACGGCCAGCGTGAGGGGAAGGAAAAGGCCCAGCGAGTGGAGCCGTGAGCGGCACTGCCAGGTTAGGAAGGATCTTGCACTACCTGCGCACTTCTGCTGGCGATGGGGTGGGGTGGGGCCGGGTGGGGGAGAACCTGGAAGAGGACCGAGAGCGGACGCCTCGCCCTCGATGAGGGTGGGGGCAGCCGCGAAGACACCTGACTTAGGGAAGGGGGACGTGGGAGCGCTAACTGGGACCCGGACGCCGGCCCTCGATCGCTCGCTCGCTCGGGGGCCACGGTTTGGCCCCGCTGGTCCGGATCCCACCCCCTCATCCCTACCCCGAGGAAGGCAGGAGGGCGGAGAACGCTGACCAGGGCGTAGACGACCCGTGGAGGTGGACCGGGTGGGGTGGGCGAGACGGATCGCACACCTCTGACTCGGTCGGGGTCCCTGTTGCGCGGACCCCCGGGATCGGGCCGAGTTGTGTGTGTGTGTGTGTGTGTGTGTGTGTGTGTGTGTGTGTGTGTGTGTGTGTGGGGGTGTTCCATCGGTGCGGACACCTCCCTCGGGCTGAAGCTGCTCCCAGTCCCCGTCCCCACCCGTCACCGAGGGCGGGGAGGGAGGGATGGGGAGAAGCAGGGGTTGTGGCCGCGGCCCTGACTCCTCCGTGGGGAGGCCGGCACTCACCCAGGCGGGCAGGTCGCAGGCGCGCACCCCGAGGCGCACGGCTCGCTCCTCGTCCTCCAGGAGCTCCAGCGCGCGGCACAGGCGGCTGGCCTTGAGGCCGCGGCTCCGGCGGCACCAGGCGAGGAGCCCGAGCGCCAGCAGCACCCAGCTGAAGCTCAGACCCAGGTAGCCCAGGGCGTACACCGGCAGCAGCAGCGCGAAGCTGCGCGCCAGCTGACCCAGCAGCCCCGACAAGTCCACGCTCAGCGCGCTGCCCGGGGCCTGGGGCTCGCAGCGGGGCCCGGTCCCGCCAGCCCCGGCCTCCGGGACGCCCTCCTCGTCCCCGGCGCCGCTCATCGCCAGCCGGCCGGCCAGCCAGCCAGCCAGCCAGCCGCGCAGCTCCCTCCTCCTCCTCCCTCCTCCTCCTCCTTCTCCTCCGGCCCGGCTGGGGCGAGCGCCGCTCTCGCGCGCAGACAACTAACAGCTCGCCCTGCCCCGCGCGCCAGCGCCCCTCTGAGGGGGCCGGGGGGAGGAGGGGGAGGCGGCGGGCGCCGACGCAGCGCTCCCAGAACGGGGCGGGGCCCGACGTCATCACGGCGCGCGCGCCGGGCCCCGCCCCCTCCTCCCCCGGAGCGGCGCCCGCGGCCGGGGCGGGGCGTGGGGAGAGGGGGCGGGGCGCGCGCGCCCGGCGACGTCACCGCCGCGCTCCCTGGGGGCCCGGGGTCTCCCTTTGCCAGGGGCGCCCGGTGTCGGACCGGGAAGAGTTCCCCGGGCGTGGCGCGATGTCGTACGTGTCCCACCCCCGCCCCCGATCCCGCCCACTCGCCAGGGAGGGCCCGGGGAAGACAGCACCGCGGGCGGCGAGTGGACTGTGCCTGGTGTCGTCGCGCGGCCGGATCCCCCCTCCCGGGCCCGGCTCCCGTGGCCTCGGGGAGACGGCTGGCGACGCGGGTCTCCCACTCTGCGAGCCCGAGGAGGGCGGGGGGTGCCGCGCGCCGGGGGCTGCACTGCACGCTCGCACGCCTGCACTCTTGCAGGCTCGCTCGCACTTTTGCACGCTCGCAACTCCCGAGGTTCCGGCTTGCGCGGGTGCGTGGAGGATGCGCTGCGCCCAGCGGGCTAGCAGGCTAGGAGTTGGACCCTTAGCGTGTACCGGGCGGGTGCAGCCTCAGGCTTCAGGTGGATGCCCGCTAGAGTCCCGGGCTCCAGCCAACCAACCCCTTTGCCACTCCTGGCTCCCGGGCAAGAGGACTTGAACTTACAGGGGTCTAGGGTAGGAGGAGTCTACCCTAGGAGAACGGGGTGAGCACTGCAATAAAATTCACCCTGCGGCCTAACGGTGTGGTGGTGCCTCCGTGTCTAGTGAGCCACAGGTCTGTCTGACCTCACCGTTGTCCAGAAGATTTAGAAACAGCGACAAATAAACCAACCAAAAGAAACAAACAAAAAGCAGCCAGAGTCAAAGTTGTGTATTTCCTTTGTGACCCACACCTCCCTTTAAGGCCAAACTCTTAGGGAACATCTGTGGAGTTTTTGCCATCTACGTTAAAGTTTGCTGAAGAGGAGCTGGAGAGATAGTTCAGCAGGTTAAGAGTGCTCTTCTACAAGCCCTGAGTTCGATTCCCAGCATCCACACCCAAGGGATCTAACTAACACCCCTGGCCTCAGCAAGCGCTTGTATTCATGTGTCCGCGTAGGCATAATTTTTAGGAAAAATTCCCAGAAGTATGATTTACAACTGTGGTTGTGGAATGTTGCAGATCCAGAGACAGGTTTTCTCGGGCTACATTTCTTACGTCAGTGGCTGCACATTGCCCATCTCTTGTGTCCGATGTAACGTCCTTGTGATTTCAGGTAAAAGCTTTCTGGAATGCACTAGCAAACTACTAGCTTCCAGCAACACAAAAGCTACCAGTGTCATCAGATAGTATCTGAAGCCTACAGAAGAAGAATTTTTTTAAAATCCGTACTTTTGTGTAACCTGGTGTTTTTGATTCACCAATGTGTGGGCGTGGGAATCAGGATTCACTAGACTTAGTGTAGAATGGAGTTTATTTTGGGCAAAGGAACTTACACAGGAAACAAGTGACCAGTCACCATTGCTCCAGCTCCAAGGATGTAGACCCTGCCACCCTGATGCTCTCTGACCCGAAGGAGCTCAGAGCCCCAATCCATTCATGTCTCCACCTGTGACCACACCCACAAAGGCTGTGGTCAGTGCTACAGATGTGTGTGTGTGTGTGTGTGTGTGTGTGTGAATGTATCACTACAATTCCCCTTTTAGTCTAAAGAAGATTTAGGCTTGATACAAAACTATATGCAATGATAACAATTATCAAGTATGCTCTAGGAGAAGGAAAGATAAAAACACAATTTAAGACCTACTGCCAGTGAAGCAACATGGAGCAATTGACACGAACTATATATCAAATCCCAGGGTAAAGGTGTAACAGATTGGGTGTGGTCAGTGCTACAGGTGTGTGTGTGTGTGTGTGTGTGTGTGTGTGTGTGTGTATCACCACACCAATGTATTTGGAAAGTGCCTTGGTTTATGTGATAGGTACTGAGTGAATACACACATGTAAAGTCACCTGTGAAAGACTTTCCCCCTGCATATGTGTGAATATATGGATTATAGCACGTCTGATGGGAAGTCCTGTGTATATGTCAATAAAGCACTGTTGGCCAATAGGGAAGCAAGCTAGGTGGGACTAGGAGTCCAGGAGGACTCTGGGTAGGAGAAACACAGGGAGTCACCATGTAGCCCACCTGAGAAGTAAGATGTCCAGAACTTTTCTCCAGTAAGAGAAATACTTAGATTAACAATTATGGGGTAAATACTTAAGTCAGAGCTAGCTAGTAAGAAACCAAGAAAATGGCCAATAGCTTAATAATTAGTACAGAGTCTTGTGTGTTATTTGGGGACTACAACGTGGCAGAGCCCAGGCGACTGGAGAGGAAAAACCAAAGCTGCTGGCAAGGAAAAGGCATCTTTCTACACACATCAGAGGCACGCCAAGTTCTAGAAGTGACAATGGTCTGCTGGATAAAGGACGATAAACCAAGCAAGGTGTCTTAGAGTTCTGTTGCTGTGAAAAGACCATGACCACCACAACAACTCATAAAGGGAAGCATGTCGTTTGGGCTGGCTTACAGTTTCAGAGGCTTAGCACATTGTCATCATGGCAGGGATCATGGCAGCGTGCAGGCCGCCCCAGTGACACATTGCCCCCAGCAAAGCCAACCTCTTAATCCTTTCGAATAGTGCCACTCACTGCCTGGTGACCAGGGATTCAAATGTGTGAACCTATGGGGACCATTCTCATTCAAGCCAGTCACATAAGCCAAGGCATTTTCTTCCTTCTCTTCCCACTTTATTTTGTTTGTCTCCCCATGGAACTACATCATATAAACTATAAGTGCGCAAAATAACAAATGGCAACCCATTTCCCCTACACGGCGAATTAATGCTCTTGATGCTGCTAAGTTTTAATAACACAGATATAAGCAATACCCCCAGATAGAGAGATGCATCAGTGGTTAAGAATGCTGCCTTTGGCCGGGCGGTGGTGGCGCACGCCTTTAATCCCAGCACTCGGGAGGCAGAGGCAGGCGGATCTCTGTGAGTTCGAGGCTGGTCTGGTCTGACAGCCTCCAAAACAATACAGAGAAACCCTGTCTCGTAAGACCAAAAAAGAAGAATGCTTCCTTAGGCTGGATAGAGTACCGGTTGCTCTTCCAAAGGTCTTGAGTTCAATTCCCAGTCACCACTTGGTGGCTCACAACCATCTATAATGAGAACTGGTGCCCTCTTCTGACGTGCAGGCATATATGCAGACAGAACACTATATACAATAATAAATAAATCTTAAAAAAAAAGGCAGGTTCCCACCTTATAGAGGTGGAGTATACCTTTAATGGAAAAAAAATGCGTGTTGCTCTTTCCAGAAGACGTGTTTGATCTCAGTTGGTTAACCAATACCGAGAGGTTCACCCTGAAATCATTTACATATGCAGCTGTTGTATACTGTGGGAGCCAAATTCTGGTCCTCTGGAAGAGGAATGAAGGTATTAGTATAATCCTGTTTTGGGTATGTAGGTACAGATCTGTATGTATGTACTTGGAAGTATAGGTAGATAGGTGTGTGTGCCTATCCACAAGCACCTTTCCTTATTCTGTCTGCTGAGAATGTCTAGAGGCAATGGTACCCTCGTACTAATGAACACAGCCAGCTTCCAGAGTGTAGCATCTACTGTTTTCCAGCAAAAGGGCCCCTAGGTCTCTGATGGACGGTTGAGTTTGTGGCTGGAAAAGCGAAAGTGCATAATCATGCCGGGCTATTTTGTGCCACAGGAAACGGAAAGAACCATTTGACATCAAAGGGCCTGGGAAGCTACTCAGAGGGGACTGTGACTTGCCAAATCTGAAACAATTTTAGCAGCAAAACAGAATGCTATTTGCAGATGCTACTATTTGGATGAAGAAAAAAAATATCTCTCAGAGGTCATGTGCTAAAGACCTGACCCTAGTGTAGCAGTGTTCAGAGGCAACAGAGCCACGGGGCTCTAAACTTATGAAGATGAACCCTTGGGTAAATTCACTGGCGGGAACTATTGGGAGGTGGGGCCTAGGTGAAGAAAGCAGGTCTTTGGGGTCTTGCCTTCTCTTTTTATTAGTCAGTGATCTCTAGGGGGACAGAGCCAGAGAGGGGTTTGGGAAGGCCGGTTTTGTACTAGAAGGCTTGGTGGTACATAATAGACATCTGGAAAGAGGATGTTTTTTAATCTAACCTCCAGAAATCCTTCTATAGCCCAGCTTGAGCTCACCTCTGGTTATGTGGACACCCTGAGCCCTAACACTTAGATGGCTTTTATTGCTAGCAAGTTGACAACAACATACACTTATTTCCAGGCCACCATGAAGTGAGCATGAATGTTCAAAGGAGCTTACTTCTTCGCTACTCTGCCTCAACACACGCCCTCAAGGAAATGGGGCCAGTGGACTAAAGTTCAAAATCATGACGGCAATAAACTTTTTTTCTTTTAGGTTTTTTTGTCCTTAGGTATTTTGTCCCAATATTGGAACAGATAACTGGGGGATTTTACTCCAGTGAGCAAAATAAGAACCCTCAAACTCATACTGGAAGAATGGATGAGTGAGTGATGGATATGTATAAAGAAATGGTGGAGACAGAAGGTTTCTTTTTAACACTAGAATGTCACTTAGTACAGCAGGAATGGAAAAGAAGTGACCTTTTAGCAGCCTTCATGGTGGGATTGATACAGGACTGAACTATTAATGGAAGAACAGGACAGAAACTGGGGGATTGAGTGGAAGCTACTAGAAAGACAAAAATGCTAATCAGAGAAAATGGAGAGTTTGTGGTGAAAAGAAGACAATAGACATCAGTGTGTTGGAGGTGACAGAG